AAAAAAAAAAAAAAAAAAAGAAAAATGTTATTTTATGGCTCAGCTTTATCAGAACACCTGTGTTTTGTAAGTGAAATTTGTTTTAGGGAATAGAAGGCTGGAGATGAATTCCTTATGAACTCTCCTTGGCAGATGAGAATTTTAAGGCTTGGAACAACTGAAGATGCTTTTCTATGTTACATTTGGGCCAGGCTTTCACAGCCTTATTGAGTTCAATGAGGATTTAACGGTAAATGAAGGAAGAAAGTATAAGATGAATGATGCAGAGCATGGTGGGAGATCAGTAGGTTACTTAGGTGTTTATGAGTCTAGGTGCCATTTAACTTATTCAAAATAAGTGCCTGTGTTGTGCATTCAGGTAGACCCACGTAAGCATACATTTATACTGTCATGATGAGTCTGCAGTGATAAACTAGCAAATGAATAATTACTAGACTTAATGCATTTCTTGGCTATAGTCGATTCTCCTGAAAGATTGATAAGTCAAACATTTGGATTTCCGTTTTAGCAACAGTAATTTGATGTTAGTGCTGTGTGTTCCTTTTTTGTTGGGTTAAAAAATTATTCCAATTTTTCTCATTTGAACCTTGTAAATTAGCAAGTTTGTTTAGGTCAGATGTTACTACAAATTTAAGGAATTGGTTAACTTATGTTTTACTGGAATTTTATTGTGTTTGTAAATCTTCTTGGTAGTTTTTTTCAAAAATGAGTTTGTTTTAGTATAATTTGAGGTACACATACTGAGGTGTATATCAAATACTTTTACATTTAGTAAGGTTGTTTTTTTTTTTTTTTTGAGGCAGTCTCAAGCTGTTGCTCTGGGTAGAGTGCTTAGGTGCCAAAGCTCACAGCAACCTCCAACTTAGGCTCAGGTGATCCTCTTGCTTCAGTTTTTCTGTTTTTAGTAGAGAAGGGGTCTTGCTCTTGCTCAGGCTGATCTTGAACTCGAACTTGATCCACCTGCCTTGGCCTCCCAGAGTGCTAGGATTACAGGCATGAGCCACCATGCCCGGCCAGTTGGGTGGTTTTTGGAAAGCTTGGGCACACAGGATATGCCAGAGTTATAGTTAGTCTCAGCAGTGGGTTTTTCGTACCCACTGGTGAGATGGTTGTCAGTAATTTGTTTCTGGCTACTGCTCAGTATAGTATCCTGGAAATACCTAGTGGATAATGTGATGGTGCCAGTGGTTCTCATCATCTCCTAAGTACCTGATCCTAGCATTTCAAAAATAGGGGAAACAGTAAGTAAACTTGTTTTAGGTCCTTCCCTTTCCTGGAATCTGCATCATCTTTTGCAACTAGATGGACAAATAAGTAAGTGCATTTGTACTCTTGGCATGTTACGTGGCCTTTTAAAAATTGAAGGTACATTAGAAAAATTCACAAATTATAATTGTATATCTCAATGCCCTTTTCACAAAGTTAATGCACTTGCATAGCCACCCCTCAGACCCAGAGGTGGGGCGCTCTCACTGCTTCCAGTAATTGTCCCCATAGCTAACCATGGTCTTCACTTTTTGCCATTGATTACCTTTGCCTATTTTTTGTCTTTATATAACTGAAATAAAGTTATATATATATATATTGTTTCTTGGTTCTTTCTTTCTTTCTTTTTTTTTTGAGATATGTCCCCCTGGGTAGAATGCTGTGGCATCACAGCTCACAGCAACCTCCAACTCCTGGGCTCAAGTGAGTCTCCTGCCTCAGCCTCCCAAGTAGCTGG